GCAGCTGAAGGCTAAAGACGCTCCGAACGTTTCTGATGAAATTTGTTTCTTGAGATCTACTATAGGGGATCCGGCACATCTTTCAATAGGAAAAAGTAGCTCTGACCATGAGAAAGGAGCATTTTTCTCCAGTGGTGTTGAATAGGCAATTCATAGCCGGAAAGAACCGTTCCTGACTACCTCAGACATCAGAGCACATATTTGTTCTAGAATAGTCTACGAGAATTCAGTGAAAAAGTGACGAATTATAGATCTTGCTTGAAAGTGATGTGAACATGAATGTGAAGAAAACGACGTGGCCCGCAGGGTTTCACCATGACGTCTTCTAATTGGCGCATTCAACAAGTGCTTTTCTTCTCGGGAGGCTAAGAAAAAACACAAACACAGCCGATGCCCATAGAATAACGGCAGCAAGAAAAGAAGAAAGAAACATACATGCAGAAAAAGGAATCCAAGCACTGGCGGCTTGGTCGTTCCTTCCACGTACATGTCATTATAATTTCGTCTACCCAGGAACCGTCAGTGACAAAATATTTCAGCAGGCTGACGAAGTAAGGACGTAGCCAAGGAGCCAAAGGTTGCGGAAAGTCATTGCATAGATACTCATGCAAAAGGCATTAGTATCTATGCAGTAACTCAGGACTGACGTAGCTCTATGAGACCAACAGACCACGGTGACGCTGGTTGACAGCGACCTACACTATAAAAACTGCGAAGCAATGACAAGTTTAGTGTTTTGGCGTCATTTGCGCTGCGATGCAGGGGCTACGACTGCCCAGTACATTTGTAGGACGTCTTTTTTGTTCACGGTAGCTTTTTTAGTGGGAATGAAATTATTGTCACCGTTTGTTTTATAGTCGGTAATTCCACTAGATATCAATTCTTCTGCTGTCTGAGGTTCTATTTTTTTCACCTTCATCATGGACGGCAATTAAACAGATATACTCTGGTTCACTGCGGATGAAGGGGCGTGTCAGGTAATGTGAGTGTGCGACAGCGTCAAGCGGGTGTGCTACATAAAGTGGTAGAAACAAGTGATACTAGCGACATATGTAATACAGTCTCGTCGCTTGCTGGCTTGAACAACTGGTGAAGAACTGGCTTTGGCACAACCCCCCTCCCACCCTTCCACTCCCCCAAAGTCATCCAACCTGACACGCCCCTTCGTTCGCAGCGAACCGTACTATAAATATCGACTAGTTTTATTCAATACTTTAATAAAGAGTAGGGTTTGGCTTTCATGCCTTGAGCAGTGGGCTACCAAACCTTCTATTCTATAGAGCAGTACTTCGTGTGTCGGTC